CTCCGACTCCCAACTCACCGAGACGCCGCAGCATGATACCGTGGTCTACGGTATCAAAAGCCGCTGAGAGGTCCAAAAGAACAAGGACAGAGGAGTACCCTCTGTCCCGGGCCCTCCAGAGATCATTGACCAACGCGACCAATGCCGTTTCCGTGCTGTGCCCCGGCCTGAAACCCGACTGGTATGGGTCTAGATAGATAGATATATCACGTAGATAAGAACTTCTTAGAAGAATTGAGATTTATGCATTTCTCTGAAAGAAACCCCCAAGCTCAGAGGGCACCAAGGACCCCACAGTCATCCTTCTCTTTTATTTCTCTTCCGTTCCACAAATCCCAACTCCCTTCTAGCGCTGATGATGTTATCTAGTTGGGTCACAAAATGTCTACAAGAAAACCACCAAGCTCAGCACCAAGGACCCCACAATCCTCCTCCTCCTCTCCACAAATCCCCACTCCCTTCTAGCGCGGATAATGTTATCTAGTTGGGTCATGAAACGTCTGTAAAAAAACAAGCAAGCTCAAACAGCACCAAGGAGACCCCATTCATCCCTCCCTCTCTCCCTATTTCCTTCCCTTTCTCCCTTGATCCCCGACTTTCTCCAAGCAATTATAATTTTGGATGTTTTTAACGGATTCCTTCCTGTAAAGATATACGGATGGCCCCTTGAAAAGTCCCTTGAAAAGTCTCGGGTCCCTTGAAAAGGCTCTTACTGGATGGATCAAAGCAGAGTTTTGCAGCAAAGCAGCCTTAATAATAATAATAATAATAATAAAGTTGGAAGGGACCTTGGAGGTCATCGAGTCCAACCCTTGCAGAGAGAGACTTGAACCTGGGTCTCCCCTTCAAGGTCCCCTTCTCTTGAAGCTCCAAATTTTAAAATTAAATTACTGGCGGTTCTTCTGGCTGAGCCAAAGGATTAAGGGACGCATCTGCTAATAAGGGCAGGAAAAAGAAATACATCAATTTACCCAAATTAAAAATAAATATACTGGAAACCCGAAATCTTTGGGGATTTTTTCCCCCTTTTACTCCAAATCCCTAAAAAAAAAATCAAAAAAAAATCAGGGGTCCCTCATCCCGCTGTCGCAAGTCTAGGATGGAGGGGCGCTCTGCATATGCTCAGGAACCCGTTGGCTCGCCGGGCGGGCAAGAGTGGGGAGCAAAAAGGGGCCTTACTTCTGAGGAGGGAGGGATTCCCGTCCCGAGGGGCTGCAACAGACCCCCCGAATAATCCTTTCCGCAATACGACCCCCTCGACTCTTCTTTTCCCTCTTCCTTTTAACATTTAGATTTGTGAGGGCCACCCTTCTAACGGCAAGGCGTCGGCTGGGGCTCAGTTAAAACGACCTCCAGCCCTTCCCCATCCCAAGGAAGGTTTTTTCCCCTTACCCTTCCGCCGAGGCCGCAAGCCGGGGCCTCACGTACCACCCGAAGCCGAAAAGGAACGCCTCTTCGTCGGCCGAGCGAAGCTCTCACGTCACGGCCGAACGAGAACCAATCAGGCTCCGCCCCCTTCTCAGCGCGCGCCCGGGAAACGGCTTCGCTCTTCTTGGCCGCCGCCAAAGGCCGCCTGTGCGCAAACTCCGTAGTGGCCGCAGAGGTGGAACCTGGTTTCATCCTCCCCTTTTGGGGGCAGAGCTACGCCGATTCCGTCCGCAGCAGCAGCAATGCGCAAATGGCGGAGAAAAAAGATGTTCTGTAACGCTCTCATCGCAAATGGCCGGCGAAGAGGCCTTTACTGCCCGATCGGTGTTACGCAAACGGCGTAGGAGGAAAACACTGGAGAAAGAATTGCTGTCATTTCGTTGTGTGCACGCGTCGCTTAAATTGCTGTCATTTGGTTGTGGGCACGCGTTACTGACCCCAGGGACTGTAAGTGCATCACTTGTAAACTACCCCCCCCGACTTACTTTGAACCCATCTAGTACAAAAACACTGTAAACTATTGTGAAAAATTTAGGTTGGTTCCAAAAATTGGTTGACAATATTGAATGAGTGATTTATGTATGGTTCATATTTCTTAATCACCCATCTCCCTTTGAGATGTATTGTACTGCATTTTTTGCAGTTTTAACCATTAGTTTTAAATTATTATTATTGCTATTATTATTTCATTGCTATCCTAGTTCTCCATCTGCCAGTAGTCTAGACTGTAAGAAACAAGCAATTAAAAAAAAATAACCAAGGAAAACAATAATTCCCTATCATGGAATGCATAAAAATTGTATTCATAGAAACAGAGTTGGAATGGACCTCAGAGGTCATCAAGCCCAACCCCCTGCAGGATTTACGATGTCATTCCCAATTGATGACTTTGTAGCCTGGTTGAAAACCCCCAAGAATGTAGAAGAAACCTCTTCTTCCAATGACAGTTCTCATTTTGGTTGCCATGATATAAAAAAGATGTTGAGACTCTAGAAAGTGCAGAGAAGAGCAACAAAGATGATAAGGGGATTGGAGGCTAAAACATACGAACAACAGTTGCAGGAATTGGGTATCTCTATCTAACAAAGAGAAAGACTGGGAGTGACATGATAGCAGTCTTCCGATATCTCAGGGGCTGCCCCAAAGAAGAGGGAGTCAAGCTATTCTCCAAAGCACCTGAAGGCAGGACAAGAAGCAACGGATGGAAACTCATCAAGGAGAGAAGCAACCTAGAACTAAGGAGAAACGTCCTGACAGTTAGAACAATTAACCAGTGGAACAACCTGCCTCCGGAAGCGGTGAATGCTCCAACACTGGAAGTTTTTAAGAAGAGACTGGACAGCCATTTGTCTGAAATGGTATAGGGTTTCCTGCCTGAGCAGGGGGTTGGACTAGAAGACCTTCAAGGTCCCTTCCAACTGCTGTTAATATCAAGGCAACAAAGGACATTGTTAAGCATAGATTGGATTACCACATCTTATTGTGTTAGTCCAATGGGTTGAACTATCTGTTATTAGCATTTCCACTCTTTGGAACTTTTAAGACATATAGACTTCAATTCCCAGCACCAGGAAGCAATGTACTAACTCACGATTGCTTGATTTCATGATACAAATAGGCCTCAACTTAGCAAGCATTTCTTTAGTGACCAAAGTTACAATGGTATTGTAAAAAGTGACTTAACACCGTTTTGCACATTTATGACCATTGCAGCATCCCCATGTTCACATGATCAAAATGTGGGACGCAGTCGCTAACTCGAGGACTACCTGTGCCTGGACTGCTGAACAGGTAACCCACAAGTCCAGTTCTCATGCTTAATTCAATCGCATAATGAAAATAATGGGATTCCTCAGAATTTTATCTATCCATCTCCTTCCTTGAGACGTACGTTTCCCACGCCCCTTCTCAAGTGGGGTGTTTATGTTTAACCCAGCCACGAACACATTAGCTGCCAAATTGGCAATTCTAACCATAAGCAGCAAATCTTCTGAACAACTGTAAACATTTTATGCATAATTGAAATTCATTTTTAACGATTCTGGCAGAAGAGCAATAAATTAAACACGACATCAGCTGCAAAACTTTGCATTCGCACAACTTTATTCAAGAGATGTGGGCTGGCCCCAATCTGGCTTTGATTTACCAATTTAAAGAAAGTCTGTCTTAACGGACTGCAGGATGTTAGTTTGACAGGGCATACCTTAGGGCAGAGGCCTGCCACTTTGGCAACTTTAAGAGAAATGGACTCCAATTCCCAGAATTCCTCAGCCAGCATTGCCAAAGTGGCAGACTCCCTGCTAGAGGACGTAGTCCAAGGCTACATGATTGAAATAGCTGAGATGGGGAAGATAAGACATTTTACAGTTTTTTTCTATCCCAACTCGCTCTTCCTTTGCTGGATCAATGTTGGCCTGTCCCAAACGGTATTAATAGGCAGAGGTTCAGCCTGTGGCCAACTCCTTCATGGTGGGACAGCAAAGCTAGGTACCCACTCCTTTTTAACATCTACATGAAGCCGCTGGTTGAGATTGTTTGCCAGCACGGTTTGGTCACATCTGTGCCAAGCACACTGAGCTACAAGCATACATCACAAATCTCGGTCCACAGCTACAGTCTGCACATCCTTCAATTTAAGGTTGTTTTTCAGATCTTCCTGAAGCTAAGCTGGCGTATCATCAATATGCTGATAGTCAGTTTTGTATCTCCAGCTCTGGTGATCCAAGTGATGCTGTGGCTTGCCTCCTCACGGTGCCTGGATGTCCCCTGGTTCAAAGGCTGTAGAAGAGGGGTGGTGTTTTGTGGGAGATACGTTACATCTGGGTAGAGATGGCCGAGTTGCGCGAAGACGTCAAGGGGCATCGTTGAAGAGTAGGAAATTTTTTTTGGAAAGGGATTCTGTTCCTCCAAGGTATAGGTCCTTACTTCCGGCACCAAGCAGGTCAGAGAGAACAAAATGCAATAATAAAATACAGTTGTGGTAAATGTAAAGAATCAGCATTCAGATAAATCATACATCACCTTTACAGGACATCTGTTCAATAGAATTCTTCACTCAACTGTTTTAACTATACATTTAGCAGTTCTGCTTACAAAGTGTACATTAGAGCCCAGAGATAGACAGATAGATAGGGGAGGGATTGCACAGAAATAGACAAGAGTAGATGGATGCTAGATAGATGAAAGAGAAAATAGATAGAGAGGGAGAGGGTAGGTAGGTAGACAGACACACACACACACAGGAGAGTGGGTAGATGGATAAAGATCAGAAGAGTGGAAGGATGGATGGATAAGAAAATGGACAGATGGTAGATGAGACAGGAAGTAAATGGAGATAGATGAGTAGAGATGATAGAAGAGAAAATAAGTAGAGAGAAATAGATCAGAGTGCATGAATGGGAGAGTAGATAGATGGGAGAATGGTAGAGTAGACAGAGAACACTAGAGATGATATAGATCAGGGGTCTTCAAACTTGGCCCTTTTATGACTTGTGGACTTCAACTCCCAGAATTCCTCAGCCAGGCACTTGTGCCTGGCTGAGGAATTCTGGGAGTTGAAGTCCACAAGTCATAAAAGGGCCAAGTTTGAAGGCCCCTGATGCAGATGAAAGAGAAAATAGGTAGAGCTAGATGGGAAGAGGTGGATGGATGGATAGATAAAAAAAGTAGAAAGATACAGACACAGATGGATAAATATTGGTTCAGAAAGATTTAAAGTATCTTCAATGTTAAGCTGGGTGGAGGCAGCGGTCAAGAAGGCATTTTTCCCTTCTGCCAAAAAGTTCTTTCCCTGCAGAAAAGCATACACATGGTTATTCCTGGCACCAACAGTGAGAAGCAAGAGAGAAAGAAGAGATATAGATATAGATAGATAGATAGATAGATAGATAGATAGATAGATAGATAGATAGATAGATAGATAGGGAGAGGGAGGGAGGACAGAGAACAGATATGAGATGACAGAACAGAAATTCGTATTGTGCAAATATCAGTGTGCTGTTTGCAAAAAGATTGAAAAAAGTGCTGCCTGAGATTAGCTAGCTAGCAGCTGAGCTGATGGTGTTCTGCCCCTTTAAGACCACTCCCCAGCCAATCCAGATGCTTAGCAAATGCAGCTACAAAAGGTTTGCAGCAAAGCAGCTGGGTGTGGTGTGATTATGGTGGAGCATTTGGCCTTGAAGTGTTCCAGCAGCAAGGAGGTTTGTAGGTTTTGCTACTATGTATTGGAAACTAGAAGCAACCTGATGTTAAGGAGAACTGTAGTTTACTCCTGATAGTAAGCAGCATCCCCAGTAGACCTGGGGAAAGAGTGTGGAAACGAACTGGGACCACCACCCTCCTTTGCTGCTGTTTGGGTTGCCTAAAGGCCAGTGAGGCTGGGGTGGGCCCTGTAGGGTGTGGGAGCCCATTGAATTGGGTATAGATAAAAGGACCCCGTCACACAATTGGTGGCAGAAGTGGGATAACCTAAAGCAAAGTGGAATAACCAACAAGATAGGAGATCCAAAATAAGTGGGAATGGCTGAAACTCAAGTGGGTTCAGTACAACCCACATAAAAAAAACAAACTCTGGTTAAAAAGGGGTCTGTGAAAGGACGGGAGTTTGGACCTTGCAGAGGCCAGACTTGGCAGAAATTGGCTTACTATTCTGGCTGAGGAAACCAGACCTTGTAAAGAGCATTTAACAAAAACACCCAATATGCATCAAATAGAAAGGGCAGTTTCTGTTATATATGTTGACAGTAGCAATATTACTTTTATGCACAAAAATGGAGGGACACTTTGATTCTCACAATGGATAAAATGGCTGCAAAAAAAAGAGAAAAACCCCCAATTCTTTTTTTTTCTACTTGGGAAACTGCTTCTGGACTTTGTGCTTGAGCTGGGAAAAAAAATGAAATTCTGGTTTTGAGTTTATTATAGAAATGACTAGTTTATACTATTATGTAAAAGTAAAAAGTTGGTTTATTGTCTTATTCTACTGCACCAAAGGGAGTCAGAATTCAATGCCTTTTCCTAGTTTTCCCTTCCCTCTTCTCTCCCCTAGTTTTCCTGGATTTTTGGGGTGGGGGATATTTTGTATTATAAATTTTAAAGTTACACTGGAAATAGGATAGTTTCTC